AGTGACATGAAGTGTCTTTTTGAGCTGCACTTTTAAAAGACAAAAGAAGCCGGTCACAGTGGCTCACACCTATAATCCCAGCACTTTAGGAGGCCAAGGTGGGTGGATCACAAAGGTTAGAAGTTTTCGACCAGTCTGGCCAACATGTCTCTGCTTAAAAAAAAAAAAAATACAAAAATTACAGCTACTTAGGAGGCTGAGGCAGGAGAATCACTTGAGCCTGGGAGGCGGAGGTTGCAGTGAACTGAGATCATGCCACTGCACTCCAGCCTGGGAGACAGAGTGAGACTCTGTCTCATGAAAAAAAAAAAAAGAAGAAGAAAGAAAGAAACAGAAAGTTAAATATTTCATCTAGCTTTCCCGTCAACTAGGACAATGGTTTTCAATGTGTGGTCTCTAGACCAACATCAGCGTCACCTGAGAACTTGTTAGAAATGCAAATTCTCAGCCCAATCAGACCAATGGAATCAGAATCTCTGCAAGCTCATTTTTGCAAGCCCTCTGTTTAGGCACCACCCCCTTGAGTTTCTGATTCCGTGGGTTCAGGGTGAGGCCGAGGAATGTGCATTTGAGTAAGTTCCCAGGCAATGCTGATGCTGCTTGTTCGGGGCCACACTTTGAGAACCACTGAGCTACAGCATCATTCTTGCAGTGATATTTAACCTGCATGCAGCTTTTCCAGTTCGCTCTTTACAAGAAAGATTGCCAGAAAGCAATGACATATGTTTAAAGGATTTAAAGTTTGTTTTTGTTAGGTATTAGTGGATCCACAGGAAGCGCCTAGTTGTGTTGAACAGGGATGCAGTTTACCTGTGGAAGCCTTGCTTTGAGGAAATGTTTGGAAAGCTGCTACCAGCCTAAGCTTCCAAAAGTCTAAGCAGCACCCCCATCTGTGAAGGTTGCTTACTGCAAGTAGAAAAGAAAGGGAGTATGAAAAGGGGTGGCCCAGAGGCAGGTGAGAGGTTGACTCAAAGAACGCCTTCTCATGTTGGTCTGAGCTGGAGAGATTCTTGTTCCTTAGAGCAGTGCTCCACAGTCCTGGTTACATCTGAAGGCTTGTAAAAGAACACCCAAGCCCAGATCCCACCCCAGACATTCTGATTTAATTACACTGGGGAGGGCCCAGGCATTAGTATGGTGGTTTGAGAAGACCCCCAGGTGTCTGGCTTGGAGGCTATTTCTTTAACTCTCTCAGTGATTCTGTAAGCCATTAAATACCCTATAATAAATATTTTTCCTGCTTAAAAAAAAAAAATCCCCAGATGATTCTAATGTACAATCAGGTTGAAGAACACTACTTTAGAGAAAACCCTAAAATTTAGATAAGCTACATTCTTGTTTATTTTTTTAATTGTGATAAAATGTGCATAACACAAAATTTACCATCCTAACCATTTTTAAGAGTACAGTTCAGTAGTGTTAAGTATATTCATCATTTTGCAGCCAATCTCCAGAAGTTTTCATCTTGCAAAACAAACTATACCCATTAAACAAAATCCCTATCCCCTCTCCCTAGCCCCTGGCAACAACCATTCTATTTTCCATCTGTAAATTTGACTAGTCCTGGTATGTGACATAAGTAGATCTTACAGTATTTGTCCTTTTGTGACTGATTTATTTCACTTAGCGTAATGCCCCCAAGGTTCTTCCATGCTGTAGCATGTGATGGATGGCCTTCCTTTAAAGCTGAGTAATACTGCATTGTATACACGTACCACATTGCGCTTATCCATTCATCCATTCAAGGCACACTTGGGCTGGTTCCACTTTTTGGCTATTGTGAATAATGCTGCTGTAAACATGGGTATACTTACATATTTTTAAAAGAAAGAATAATTAGAGTCAGTTATAGCCATTAACACTGAATGCTTATTATACCGTGGACCCTGATCTAAGCTGTTTATGTATATCACTTTATGTATATCACTCTAAATGACTCTATGGAGTCTTTACTGTTATTACCTCCATTTTACAGATGATGAAACAGACCTAGGAGAGTGTGGTAACTTACCCAAGGTAACAATATTTTACACAGTTTCCTCACTATAAAAATTGCCTGAGCTGTTTGTTAGAAGTTTCCGTTCCCAGGCCTCATCCTATTCCTGTGGGCTGCAGGCCTCCAGGAGGGCACCTGAAAGCTATAGATTTTCCTTGTATACACACAGGGGTTACTTGTCATCAAAGAGAAGCTGGAGACATTTGGAGCCACTAAGTGGTAGGCCCAAGCCGTCTGGCCACCAGAGCCTTTTCCCTTAGCCATGAGGCCAGGCTGCTCCTTTAAGGCCTGTAATGCCTTAAATCCTTTAAGGGTCTGTAATGGCCCAAGGGAGGTGAACAAATGTCTCCAATGGGATTTCTAAACTTTTTATTTGTTGTGTGGTGTAGAAGCTGATTTCTATTGTGATCTCAGCTATTTGTCTGTACATCCCCTTTTTTACATCACAGCTTCATTTTGAAATCCAGCATTCCCTGGAAGCATAATATTCCTTCCATTGCTACCTTCTTAAAAAGAGAAACTTGGCCTGGCACAGTGGCTCACGCCTGTAATCCCAGCACTTTGGGAGGCCGAGGCGGGCAGATCACCTGAAGTCAGGAGTTCAAGACCAGCCTGGCCAACAACCGTGTCTCTACTAAAAATACAAAAATTAGCCGGGCATGGTGATACACACCTGTAATCCCAGCTACTCAGGAGGCTGAAGCAGGAGGATCACTTCAACCCGGAAGGCAGAAGTTATAGTGAGCCAAGATTGCACCACTGCACTCCAGCCTGGGTGACAGAGCAAGACTCTGTCTCAAAAAAAAAAGAAAAAAAGAGAAACTTGAATGAATCTGACTTCAGTGGGGACAACAGTCTGGCATTTCACATTCCAAAGTGAAGAGTTCAAGGGCCCTCCTGACCAGCTTTTTGTTCTTCCCTGTCTGCAGGACCCATTCAGGGGCCTTGTCATCAGAATCCACTCACTTCAGCAACTCTTTATTGAAGGCTGCAAACTGCCCCAGCGTGCTGGGTGCAAGAGGGAGAAAAATAGGCAACTGGATCCTCTACTATATCACTGGGGAGGGAGACAGCTGCTTCTCAGAGTTGGTGCCTGGGTCCTGCTGTTTAGGAGGAAGCAGCTCTTGGCCCAATTTTTTTCCCTTAGTTTTAAGCATCTTTTGCTTAAGCCCTTTCTAAGCGTTGGGAGCCCCCAGCACTTCCAGACTGTGCTTACTAGTCAAAAGCATAGGGGTTGTTGTCTGGGAGGAGACATGAGGAGGCCGCCAGGGGTGTCAGAAATATTCTGCATCTTCATCTGGGCAGTACTTCCATGGGTATAAATGTGTAAAACTTCATTGATTGTGCATTTTCCTGTAGGCATGTTATACCCCATTTAAAATAAAAATAAAGAGAATAGGGCAGGTTTGAGTGTATGGATGCATAATATTGCAAGACATATTGTAAAGGGAAAAAATGAGTTACCACTGGTATTTTTTAAAAGAATATGGGAGACTTACCTTTCACTCCATCTTCTACAGCATTTGAATTTTCTATCATGGGCATGAATTACTCAAAAACAAATTCACTGTAGATTCCGGAGCTTGGTCCCCATCTTACGGAATCAGCTTCTCTGGGGTCGAAGCCCAGGAATGCTCATTTCTAACGCCCTCTCCAGGTGATGCTATGCACACTGCAACTTAAGAACGACATGGGGTTGTGCTGGCCTGGTTTGGGCTACATCCTATACAAAAAGAAGCCGGGTCTAAGGGGAGTTTACCCCAGGTTCAAATGATAGTGTCCCCCATGCCTTGATGATCAGGGAAGGAGCTGTTCAAATCTATTAGGGATGCCAAAGTCGGCAACTCCTGTTTCCGATGTAAATCCGTACTCTTCTCATACCAGTCTATTGTGTCGACATCCCTAACATTCCCTGTGAGATTTTAAATTGGCTCCCTACAGAGGAGTTTGGGGTTGGGCCTTAGAAGGATGTGATGAATCCCTTCACTTGTATATGCCCATTCACTTCCTCCTCTTAGCAAAGTTGCTGAGACATAACATGGCTTCAGTAACTTCCCAAGGGTACACCAGCTGAGATCATCTCTCCTGGGCAAACGAGGCCCAAACACCCTCTCTGTTCAGAGTTCTCTGTGTATTTTTGAATGAGCCTGCCTCCCTTGGCACCCTGTCCCTACGTCACCAAGAACGTTTTACCCTAATCCTCAGAGCATCCTGGCAGTCCCTCTGAACTGAAGTTCATCTTTCCTCTCCTTTCCAACACTGACAAGAAGATCCTGTAAATAACATCCGCTTGCTACTTTTCTTAACACCATGAATCATCATACACATGGGTGTAGCATCCCAATGTATAGCCTAGGAAGCTAATCTCAAAGGATTTTGCTCTCGCTTTATTTATTTACTTACTTACTTTTTTTTTGAGCCTGAGTCTCACTCTGTTACCCAGGCTGCAGTACAGGGATGCGATCATGGCTCATTGTAGCCTCTGTCTCCCCGGCTCAGGGGATCCTGTTGCCTCAGCCTCCTGAGTAGTGGGGACTACAGGGACACACCACTGTCCCCAGCTAATTTTTTTATTTTTGTAGAGATGAGGTCTTGCCATTTTGCCCAGGCTGGTCTTGCTATTTAAATCTGTGTGTGCACATACATGCTCCTGCATACCCTGAAATCTGCTTTGATATCCATAAGTGTTTAGACAGCGTTCTTGTGACCTACCTTTTAAGAAGTGTTGTACATTCGATACATAGTACCTCTGCTCTTGGGCACTGCGGAGGCCATTTCCTCTTATCCCAAGGGGCATCTAGGAACCTCTCTCTGGAGAGCCAGAGAGCAGTGTCTGAGTGTCTCTGTCTCTCTCTCCCCTCCTACGCACTCACATGAATATATACACATATATATTTTTCTCTCTTTTAGCATACTGGCACCCATTTAGTAACCTTCCAGCTTGAATTTCCTCCAGATACTCTGCACCTGAAATGATTGAGCAACCTCTCTCTTTTGCCCATAGGCTGCACCTGGGAATTTGGAGCCATGGTAAACTACATCAAGAAGACATATCCCCTGACCCAGCTGGTCGTCGTGGGCTTCAGCCTGGGTGGTAACATCGTGTGCAAATACTTGGGGGAGACTCAGGCAAACCAAGAGAAGGTCCTGTGCTGCGTCAGCGTGTGTCAGGGGTACAGCGCACTGAGGTGAGTCATCTCTGTCTTTCATCAGGGCCTGCACAGCACGCTGGTCTGTGAAGCTGGGGAACACTGTGGCCAACTGAGCGGAAGTTTCTTGAGTCTTGGACTCACCTTATTTTGTTTACATATCATGCATTGGAGTTGTCCCATCAGACCCCGTAAGCCCAGGATGTGCAGCTGCATTTTGGGATCAGATCTGTAATTGGAGAAGTCAAAACCCCCTTTGATAGTTGCTGTTTCCCTAGGGAATCTCTGTGAGGTGACTTAATTTGTTCAGGCTTCAGGAGTTTTATGGAACCGTGGGTTAATGAAAGAGCACAGGAGACTGGCAAGCTGGGATGGGAAAGCTGGGTTTGATGATCCCAGATTTTTCCTTCCTGAGGAAGAGCTGAGTCTCAGATGACACCTGGAAGGGATTTGTAGAAATCATTTATTGCTTGTCTCTCTTAGGCATCCCAAACATCATCACAAAGGATCTACTGGGTCAAGCTTTCTCCCACCCCTTAGTCTCCTGCCGCAGATACCCCACAGGATGAGTCCTAGGAGGGCGTGGTCATCTGCTCTGATTCCCCTCAGGATCACTGCTGTCCCAGGTCTCTCGAGAGTCACCACACTCACACCATACACACACACCTCTCCAGGCTCTTCAAATACATTCATATTTTTTTCCGTACTCTTCCTGGTGTCTTGTATTACAAATGAGTATAACCAGTTATTTGCAATCTTCTGAAAAAATTCTAAAATTAAATTTTAAACACAAGAAAGTTTAAAAACACCTCCCTATTGATCCCCAGTCTAATGCTAAACAGTTATTATCGTTATTCAAAGAATCTTTCCTTTTTGCCTCACCTGTACATCTCATGCTGCAGTTTAAACATACCTTGTTGTTTTCCGATAGATAGAGGCTATCTATATTATTTCTAAAAATACATATTACTGGATCTTAAAGCCAGTATACCCAAAAGGCACATGTGGGCCCAGGATTCAGCCTCTCCCTATGAGGAGGCTTAAAGCTGGCCAAAAAAGATGATCTAAATGTACCCACAATAGACAGAAACATCTCTGATGAAACCCTTCCTGAGTCCCAGAGCCAAGGTCTGGGTTCCGGTTTTCCTTGCCAGCAATATGGGCTTGATGATAATAAGGGGTACCTACCTCATAGCATCACTGAGAGTCCAACGAGTTGATACCTATGAAGTGCTTAGAACGGTGCCCAGCACACAGAACATAAGCCACTCTTCATTTCCATTATTGTCATCATCATCATTCGCTGTAAAATGAAGGAGGTGGGTTAGATCTGCAGATCACAAAGATGGATCCCATGAACTAGTGACTGCCTCACTTCAGAAGGAATCACCTGGAAGATCGTGTTAGAAAGAAATTCTGTTTCTTGGGCCCCACCCTTGAAAATTTTGATTCATGAAGTTGGAGGACTGGAACCCCAGAAATCTACATTTTGGACACATTTCATAGGTGACTTTTGATGTTTAGCAGTCCCTGGGATTAGTGACCTCAGTGGTCTCACCAGCTCTCGTGTTCCAGGACCAGCCTAGTCCCTGATCTTCCTACCAGGAATCTTTTCCTTCACTCCTCTGGACACTGGGGAGTCAGCTGAGAGGACATGTGCCTTTATCTTGGTGTGACTAGAAATATCCAACTCCCAGTTCATAGCCATGTGTAACCAGAAGTAACCAAAATCCTATCGGGCCCAGTTACTTGGATAAGAAAGACATGAGCAAGGGCCTACCCCAGGATCCAAGGGAGCTTGGACGTTTGTTTTCTTTTCCTTTTTCAATGCACAAAATCTGAAATGACAATCGCTTCATCTCATTTTGCTACGATAGCGCCCTCTGCTGTCAGCAAGAGCACACGATTGACACTGCAAACTAAAGTGTTTGAACTAAGGTAAAGACGGCTCAAGAAGCTAAGAAACTAAAATCTGTGAGGTGCTTTACATTTCGCAGGCGTAGCCTACATAGCCTCTTCCCTGAGACCTCAGAGGGCTTCATACACATAACTATTGGCTCACCAACCTCCCGCAATGAGGAGCAAGTTGCAACTTTATTCTCTGGAGCACAGAGAACTAACCTCTAGGCTGATCGTGTGGCCCTGCATATGGGAACTGGCAGCAGGTCAGAGAGACACCGCTGGCCTGTGTGTGCCAGTGCAAGGCTCAGGTGCCCTCAGCATTTAAACCAGGTCTATGGAACAGATGGAACACAGTCCCTTACTTTAAACCAGTATAACTTTTTTTTTCCTGCCAAGGCTTGAGGGCGGTGAGCCTTTCGGCACTGGGATGGTGGCGGCTGCATAAGTGATTCCCATCACACCGAGGTGGAGCTGGGAGGCCTGTCTGCCTCTGCAGGGGCCACACGAGAGTTCATGCGTCTGGTAAATCTCTCCTAGCTGAGCCTGGAGTCCTGCTTCCTCAGTAATCCCCTCCCTCTGGCTTCTCCTCCTGTAGTTCATCTCCCATCCAGCCAGAGCCCACTGAAGGTGCAAAGAGAAGCCAGCTACCTGCTTGCTGTAGTTAGCAAAGTCTAGCTGCTGCTAAACTAGCTCACCTTTTACCGTGTGCTGAACCACTGAAGGAGGAACACAAATGCCCTGAAATCACCTGGCATCCAGCAGGCTTTAACCTGTCCCTCCGCAGAAACAGCTGCCAACCCGCCCGGGGACTCTGTGTGGTCAGACATCTTCCTAGGTAATGGGGACACAGCCCTGCACAAGGCAGACTAAATTCCCTCCCTCGTGGAGCTTAAAGAAAATGGGGAGGGAAGCATTTTTGGTCTGGTTTCAGGTAAAATAAATTCTTCTTTCCCAAGAAAGCCCTTAACAATCCTACATTGCAGAATTGACCAATAATAAAACTAAAAAGCATTTTATTGCAGTTGGGTATAAAAGATAGTCTCTGTATCTGAGGATGTCACAGCACTTAAGATAATAGAGTGATAGCTACAAAGCCACAGACCAACAAATGCATGTTACTAACATATTACACGTTAGGCATATGGGTACCAAGGAGGTCCTCAGTCAAGTCGGGGGGGTCAGTGAGGAGGGATTTCTGAAGAAGGTGAGGGTGAGGAGGGATTTCTGAAGGAGGTGAGGGTGAGGAGGACGGTAGCACAGGGCTCAGACCAGGGGCAGAAGCCTCTTACAGCAAGGGTCCCAAACCGCTGTTAGGAACTGGGCTACACAGCAGGAGGTGAGTGGTGGGCGGGTCACAGTGGGGAAGTAGTGGGTGAAGCTTCATCTGCATTTACTGCCCCTTACCGTCGCTCACATGATGGCCTGAGCTCCGCCTCCTGTCAGATCAGCTGTGGCATTGGATTCTCATAGGAGGGTGAGCCTTACTGTGAACCACACATGTGAGGGATCAAGGTTGCACCCACCTTATGGGAATCTAATACCTGATGATCTGTCACTGTCTCCCGTCACCCCCAGATGGGACTGTCTAGTTGCAGGAAAATAAGCTCAGGGATCCCACTGATTCTACATTATAGTGAGTTGTATAATTATTTCATTATGTATTATAATATAATAATAATAGGGAAAAAGTGCACTATAAATATAATGTGCTTGAATCATCCTGAAGCTATCTTCCACAAAACCAGTCCCAAGGACCACTGCCTTACAGGACAGTAGAGGAATTATCAGAGGAGCATTTCAAACTTCCTCAAAGGCTCTTATGCTCCTGGCTAAGTGAATATGTAGAGGAATTATCAGAGAAGCGTTTAGAATCTCCTGAAAGGCGCTTATCCTCCTGGCTAAGTGAACGTGTTGGGTCAAACCTCCTGAAAGGCACTTACACTCCTGGCTAAGTGAATGTGTTGGGTCACTAAGACTTGGCCACCTGAATATCCTAGAGTTCTTTGAACAAGGCCTTCTTACCTCAGGCAGAGGCAGGTACCACTTTTCCTGCCAAATATAGGGGGTATTATCTCTTTTGCTTTTGATGGGCAAATTCCAGGCTAGAAATGAGTTTATGACAAAAGCAAATGTTATCATTCGTAAAGTTCCCCCAGAGACTGGGACTTTCCTAAAGTTTGTTTTTATAGTTGAAGAGCTGTAAAATACAGTCACTTTGTGCCATCAATGACTTTGAATCATAATCAAACGAAGAGGGGAAAACCGCAGCATTTAAGTGAGACTCTGTGAACAGAACTTCAACCTGGGAAACAGCTCAGCTTCCCACCACTGGCCTGTGATGTCGACCTGACCCCACGGTTGCCCTTAGTGCCTCAGGGCTTTTTGTTTATTTTGTTGTTAATTTTTTATCAGAATAACGAGGCACCATATGCATACTCTTTCATACTCTTTGATTCTAACTGATTCCTGTGAATGTACATCCTGTAAAAGGGGAAAGGTTCTGTTAAGAAAGAAAGGGGCTTGGTAGGTGGCCATCCCTACCCTAGTCTGAAGTCCATCTTTCTGTCCCATCCTTCCACCCCAATGGAACTAACAAAGCCTAGCCTGGCAGGTACCAAAAACTCTTGGCCCACCTCTTGTGTGGTACAAACATGGTTTTTTTGTGCTCACGCTTTTAAGCTGAACGAGGTAGAGGTGATGACCTCTCTACAGATTGGCTCTGTCCCTGAAGGGCAACCAGCTACCAGCCCAGAACCTTCTGGCTAGGTCTTTTGGGTACAGAGGCTCCACCGTCCCTCTTCCCAGAGGCCTGACTGTTCAAGGCCGGGCTTGGCCAGCCTGCCTAGGACCGTGCCCCCTTTCTCTCTCTGGGGGCTGGTCTGGTCCTGGTTTTGCCCCACTAGAGGATTACTCTCTTACAGTGCCAAGTTAGAAATAATCCACATGTCCAGCATGGGAGATAGTTAAATAAACTAATAAAACTGGTGTTCATTCACCTACTGTGTAGGCATGGAAATCTGGCTGGGGAAGCACATGGACAGGGCTGGTGGTGCTGCCTCCTCCCTCTCCGTGGACTGCTGCAGAACCTGGGCTCTGGAAAACAGGGATAACATTACCTGCCAAGTGCCACCACATAAGAGTTAGAGGGTGGCCCTCACAGCCACCTGGCATGTGCCAGTCACACACTAGCCCAGTAGGCAGGCATGCTTCTGGACCAGCCCACCAGCCATGCCTGGAACTCCTGGCACTTCGGTTTCCTTGCCTCTTCAATTGCATAAGCCTAATTAAAAGATAGTTTTACTTGGCGGAGATCCCAATTAATGATTTTCCTTTACCGCTTGATCAGCAAGACAGAAGTTTTTTTAGGTTTCCCCTCCACACCCACTCTCCCCTTTCATGTGCCTGTCGGTAAACCAAAAAATTGGCCTGCCAGTTAGGACACTAAATACAGAAAGCGTTCACCTGACAATTGAAGCAGACTTGATCCTGGCAGGCTCAGTGACTGAGAGAAGGGCCAGGTGCTAGAAGAGAGTGTCAGGAGTGCCACCAACAAAGCCTCTGGTGCTCAAGAGGGCCTTTCCCAGGATCCCCTTCTGCTGCGCTGTCTTGGTGTCGCCATAGATTTCTCCACAGATGTTAGAGCTCTGCACATTAGAGCCTCTGCTTTAATGCAGAGGCCACAGCCTGAGAGCTGGCTCTCTCCACGCAAGCACCTTGCCCCATGGCTAGAGCCCCCTCCCAGCTGCCCACCCACACCCCCACACCGCAGTCGCCCTCACTCGCTGTGGTTCTTCCAGGGCCCAGGAAACCTTCATGCAGTGGGATCAGTGCCGGCGCTTCTACAACTTCCTCATGGCCGACAACATGAAGAAGATCATCCTCTCGCACAGGTAGGTCACCTTCTGTTCTCTCTCAGGTGACAGACAGTTCCTTCCTGAGCTCATCTGGGAGCCATGGAAAGCCAGGACTCCTGTTCCTTCAGGGAAAAAAAAATGCAGGGGTGATACAGACTCTCTGCTCCCTGCATTTGTGACTCGATTAGAAACAAACTTGTCTTGTCCAGGCGTGGTGGCTCATGCCTGTAACTCCAGAACTTTGGGAGGATGAGGCAGGCAGATCATGTGAGGCCAGAAGTTCGAGATCAGCCTGGCCAACATGGTAAAACCCTGTCTCTACCAAAAATTAGCCAGACGTGGTGGTGGCACCTGTAATCCCAGCTACTCAGGAGGCTAAAGCAGGAAAATTGCTTGAGCCCAGGTGGTGGAGGTTGCAGTGAGCCAAGATTGCACCACTGCACTCCAGCCTGAGTGACAGAACAACATCCTATCTGAAAAAAAAAAAGAAAAGAAATTTGTCCCAAGCTACTGAATTTGCCAAACTGCCTTATGCTTTTGTAATTCCCAGTAAATCTAAGACAAGGAACCACTTCTATACCCTTTTTTCCCAAGGTGGCTGTCATTATTGAGGATACCTTCCCTGTAGGATGCTTCTGTGCCGGGGTGATCAGGACTCATTCTTGGCTGGCCCCTGGGCCTCTGACCAAGCAGCAGGGGGACAGGAGGCTCGGAGTGTGGCATGGGCACCTCCCTGCTCGGAGTTTGAGCCTCTGCTTAGTCTTCATGCTAGTCCTGTCTCTCCAGCTCAGAATCCTGCGGTGGGTTAACCTGTCAAGTGCTGAGAGCACCAGATAAAAGTAATGACTTCTTATTATGATGATTACTATAGCTGACATTTCTGCCTCCTCTCCCCACATCTCTCATCCCCTGTAGCTGGACTAGGCTCCCGTGCCCCCTGGCCTCTCCCACACCACTTACTGCCCTTGCTGAGAATACTTTCCCATTTCTCTGCTGGTGGGAATCCAGCTCATCCTTTAAAGTCCATCTCAATTCTTCTGTTTCTGTGAAGCAACTCATCCATGCCCACGTTGCTTTTCTGTTGCTTCCCCTCTGTAAATCCTATGTCTAGAACCAAACTTGAGAGCATTGGAGGGCTTAAGAATGTTTTGATTGCTCCCAGCGCCTGAGACACAGGCACACTCAAAAAAATCTGGGGGATTTTTGTACCACTCTAGGAAAAGCAATCCGACTAAATGATCAGTTGCTTATTCTCTTTATTCCAGTGGTTAAAGCAGGCCTCACACCCCAGATTGGGCTTCCTATGGGTGGGCATTCCCATGGACCTGAGCAAGGCTGGGCTTGAAGGCCCTATCAGCCTGCCACGTTGCCAGAAGTGACCTTGTGCCCTCTTGTTAGGAAGGAGAGCAGAGGGAGACTTATGTCCCCTGTGCTGGCTGGAAAATCAGCTGCTCCCACTCAGCTCGTGTTGTTTGAGATTAAGCCGTGTGTTGGGCACAGAGGTGCATGGGGCTCAGCTAAGGTTTGGATGGGCTTGGAGACTGCAGAGGTTTTATAGCCTGAAGCGGAAAGGGGTGGGTCCAGGCGTTTGACACCAAGTCCAAGTCCTCTGTCTGCCTTTTTACATCTCTGGAGTTGAAAGTGACTCCTCACAGGGAACATATGTTTTGCTAAAGGACCCGGTCTTGATAGTAATTAGTATAGAAGGTTCAAAGTATGAGAGTCTTTTGAGTATACTCTAAGTATTTACATTTTTCAAATTTACTACAGAAAGACAAACATTTAGAAATTTTAGGGTAACTGAATTTTTGAATTCTATCCAGTAGGTATATAATCTTCCTAATATTCTTCTGAAAAAATAAATGCTACAGAAATGTGTTCTTCTTTTGGAGAGGTTGTGAGTGGAAGCAGAATACTAAGTTACCATAGTAAATCCTTCCCACCGCAGGGTCATCCTCAGCAAACTCAGTCCGCTTCCAGGTGTGTGACTGAGAAACCTTGGCTGGGAAGGGAGGTCAGAAGTGCAACTTCTGACCCCTACCTCTAACGTCATCCTCTCAAGATGGATTTCTTCATAATAGAAATGCTGGTTCCACTTGGGGGTTGGGGGAAAAAAAGAAATGACTGCTCTCCTGAATAGATCTTAGCTTTTATCTAAGACACTGGAAAGCTGTTGATTTGCCAAACACTAAATGGGTTAACCCTTGTCTTCCCTGGTTTTTGTTTGTGTGTTTTCCTCTCCTTCCTGCACACTGAGTCTTCCTTGTTAAGCAACACAAACAGCTCAGTAAGGGGAAGGGTCTCTGCCAAGGGGACATTGTCGACATAGTGGAAGGACGAGGCCCCTATGCCTTTGCCCACAGCCCTCCACTCACCACAGGGCCCATCTTGAGCCACCCACGCCTGAGCTGAAGGTTTTAATACTCATCTAGGCTCAAACCCAATCTTTAGTTTGTCTGGGTACCCCTGAAAAGGGAAATAAGGTTTTGACATTCATTTTTCTGCACTTACTCAAAAGTCAACGGCACCAGCTCATCTTCTGGGACGTTCCAAAGGCTAAAGTTCTATTTGTAACTGACCACATTGCTCTGCCTCCTGGCTGTTCATCCTCCACATCTTAGTCTCTGTTTGCTTTTGTGTTTGCTCTAGGCAAGCTCTTTTTGGAGACCATGTTAAGAAACCCCAGAGCCTGGAGGACACGGACTTGAGCCGGCTCTACACAGCAACATCCCTGATGCAGATTGACGACAATGTGATGAGGTGTGTCCCCGCACACAGGAAAGGGACAGGCTGGGGCTGGGTGCCAGGCGGGAGGCTGCAGGCCAGCTCTTCCCATCACTGGTGCTTTGCTCTGCCCACTTTAGTGTCAAGGGTGTTGTTTTTTTTTTCTTTGAGTAAGTGTCTAGTGTTTAAAAACACAAGATTGTACAGAAAAATTTAAATTTCTGGTTTCTCCTGGTAAATAGGAAAAGGATCTGACTGCTCATTCTGTATTCCTGCGTAGCATAGGTAGCTTGATTCAGGAAGCTGGGGTGTGCAGGCTGAGCTTGGGCCATCTTCACCCACCTGTCTTGCCTCAACACCGGGGCAAGCGTCAGGTGCCACATCAGTCTGCATTCTGCAATGGAGCAAAAGGCAAAGGAAATATTTCTTGTACTTCTCTATGTCTCTAACAAGAGTAGAAAAACTGGCTAGGGGCAGTGTCTCATGCCTGTAATCCTAACACTTTGGGAAGCCACAGCAGGAAAATCGCTTGAGCCCAGGAGATCGAGGCTGCAGTGAGCACTATTCATGCCATTGCACTCCAGCCAGGGTGACAGAGCAAGACCTTTCTCAAAATTAACAACAACAACAACAAAAAAAAAAACGTAGAAAAACAGAAGATACACCAAGAAGGCTGTGTGTTTCAAGCAACATAAGACAGAGCCTCCCTGTTTGGGGCCTGGAGACTCCCCTCTGAGTGAAAGATGCAAATACTGCCCCCTTCATTCATCTATTCTTCACCTGCCTGGCTCCTCCAGGCACCTGAAGTTGCAGCCTTGACAGTATCCTCTTTCCTGGCACCAGTAGTTTCTGACTGAGGTTAGCCTTAGCTGAAAAAGGTAGAGTTGACCTCTGACCTCATCATTCTCTTTCCCTGATCCTTTTCCTTTAACAATCATTTGAGGCCGGGAACAGTGGCTCACACCTGCAATCCCAGCACTTTGGGAGGTCAGAGCTGGAGGATCACATGAGATGAGAAGTTTGAGACCAGCCTGGGCAACATAGCAAGTCCCTGTCTCTACAAAAAAATTGAAAAATAAAAATAGCCGAACATAGTGGCACACAGCTGTAGTCCCAGCTATGTGGGAGGCTGAGACGGGAGGATCACTTGAGCTCATAAGTTTGAGGTTACAGTGAGCTATGATCACAGCACTGAGGTTACAGTGAGCTGTGATTACAACACCGCACTGCAGCCCAGCCTGGGCAACAGAGCAAGGCCCTGTCCCTTAAAAATAAAAAGTAAATTATTTGATATCTTTAGATGTGGTTTAAAGCAAGCAATTATTCTTCATCTAATAGATAGGTAGATATTGACCTGAGGGTATAGGATCTCTACTTTTCTTCCTTATGAGAATTTAGTGGCCTTCTTACACCAAGTAACCTTGAAATATGCCTGCTGTTTCTCAAAGGAAATGAAAACTAGGAAATTGCTAGTATGTTCAGAAGGTGAAAAAGGAATCTTACTCACCCTCATTTCAGATGAGGTATGTGACTTTATTGTGGTGTCTGGTAAGAAAAAAACAAATTAAATTTCCCATTTGTCTCCTAAATTGTTTAAGCCCAAAAGAGAATGTTTCTCAACACTCACTGAAGTCCTTCCTCTTTAGTAGCAATTGATAGTAGCAGTTTTATGATCATGACCAATCTTGTGGCTTCCTCATAGATCTATCCCAGTAGTACTGGAGGGATGGATTGCTTTCCCTCCCTGCTGATTCCACAAAGGAACTGATTTCACAAGGACAGGCATCTTAGAGATGATCTCTACACTTGGCCTCCTCCCTGTTAAGAGGGCCCTAATAGTCCAGCCTGAGTTTTCCAGGTCATTCCCAGGCAGAGATGTCGATAAGAGACTGGTCATAGAAGAGATCCACAGCTTCAGGGGAGGCAAGATAGCTTAAAGACCCATCTGAATAGAAAGACCCACCACCCAGAAGCCAGAGGCCCTAAACTGTGTCAGAAAGAAAGAAAGGTTTTGAAATCCTCTGGCCTAGGCCTCCTGGTGTTGGAGCTCCAGGTTGAACCTTGCTGGGCCTCTAGGAGCACAGAGCAGAGCAGAGCTACAGCTCTTCATCCATGCTGAGCACCAGAGGTTTTGTTACATGCCAGTTTAGCTCTGACTATTGCTCCATAGTCAGAGATATGGACCAGTAGTCAGAGGTAAATGGACAGAATTAGTAACATTGAACGACAGTCTTATTTCTGTTATCTAATACATATTCTATTCCAGTTCACAGTGGTCCTGTTTCTCCAAGAACTCTGTTGAAAGTTCTAGTAAATGCCCTTGAATTTCAGTGTCTCCATATCTATAGTGACATCTGGTTTTATGCTGTCTCAAGAGACGTAACATACACTAATAATTACTATATATAACAATTACTACAGGGTCATTACTCTGGGTCGGTCATGATGCTAGTAAGCACTTTAACATCATAAGTCTCACAGTTCCATTGAGGAAGGCCCTGTCTTTAGATTCATTTATATAGGAAAAGCTGAGGCTCAGAGAAGTTGAACCATTTGCCCAAGGTCCCATAGCCAGTAGATGACCGAAGCAGGATTTGAACCCAGATGCCAAAGCCAGTGCTCTTAGCCCCAAACCCTGCTGCCTACATACATTGCATCGATATGGTGAGTTAGTGCAGGGTCTGGAACAGTAATAAAATCAGCTCCGCGTTGAGGCCTAGCTCCTGCCTCTGTCTGCTCTACCAATGCCACAAGTTAGCGTGAGGAACTGGAGCCCTAATCGGCTCAGCATTCTGATCTTATGACAAATGTTTTGTCCTTTTCCTGTTTTTCTTTTTCTGGCATGTTCAGGAAGTTTCATGGCTATAACTCCCTGAAGGAATACTATGAGGAAGAAAGCTGCATGCGGTATCTGCACAGGGTGAGTGGCCATCACCGGCTGAGAATCAGCATCCCTTCATCAGCCTTGCATACAGTACAACATATAGCCCTCCTACATTTTCCTGGTGGAAGCTCAGTGGGAATTTTAGCTTGGATTTGTTTATGGAACCAGACCCTCTCCCTCTGTAACTAGCATATATTAATCCCAGAGCTGCCCGGAGACTGGGGTGCTTCCACGGCTGTGTGAGAACCCTTAAAATTGCTCCAACACCCACTTTTTTCTTAGTCTTCCTTTGACAGTATAATCCTGTCTGGTTTCTGCCAGACCGATGAAATCTGTCTAGGTTTCTCACCATCCTGGACCCTCTTCTGGCCATTCTTTATTTTGTTACCATGGTGCCTGAGACTGAACTCAGAATTCCTGCCATGATCTGGTATGCACAGAGTAAGATGGATGTGTTTTTGCATCAAAGTAATGAGGAGCATGTCTGTTAATGAAGTAGACTGGTTTGTATTAATGCCATTTTTAGCAGCTACAATAAACGTTGTGTGTATTAAGTTTCTGGCCAACCAAAATCTCCATAAGTTTGTTTTACCTGAATGACCAACAAGCCAGTCCCTCTCATTCTGTCTGCGCAATTGACTTACCCACACACGGGACTTCCCATTTCTCCTTGTCAATGGCCACCTGTAGGTTTGGCCCACCTTTCCCTTGTAAAGCAGATCACTAGGAACTGGAGTTGTGCTGTTTGACTGGCCAGCCCTCCGAGTTTAGCAGCATCAGGCCTTTGGTGTCATCATTTAAGCCATTATAGGAATGTTGAGCTGTGTAGAGCCAACACCAGAGACCTGCAGGTTAGCACAATCATTCACTGCCTCAATATGGCTGTTCAATGACCTCTGATTCTCCCCATCAGAACCACCTCCACTGAAATGAAAAAGGAGGCTATGGCTGTTTTACTAAAGTGGATGTTGAATGCAGCCCTGCCAAAGGTTTTCCAGTATCCACCAGCCTACTCCTATTTTCAACCTTCAGATTCTTCTTTTCTTTTTAAGAGACAGGGTCTCGCTCCATTGCCCAGGCTAGAGTGCTGTGGTGTGATCATAGTTCACTGCAGCTTTGGAATCCTGGTCTCAAGTGATCCTCCCGCCTCAGCCTCCTGAGACTGGGACTATAGGTATGAGCCACCGCGCCTGACCTAGATTCTTTTGATTTGTTCTGTTTTTGTTTTTGTGTTTTAACAAATAGAAATGGGGGTACAGGTCTCGCTATGTTTCCCAGGCTGATCTCAAACTCCTGGACTCAAGCAGTCCTCCCACCTCAGCCTCCCAAAGTGCTGGGATTAAAGGCATGAACTACTGTGTCTAGCCTTGGCCTAGATTCTTCTAGAAAATCTCTTTTTTCTAATGTGGAGTACACTTCATTTTTCCCTCCCAAGATATCAACCAACTACATACATAATTTATTGTTAAGTCGTTTCCTAAAAGGCATGGCTAATCTGAAACACTGTGATGATCATCAGGAAGCTTTGCTTCTGCACTTGCCTGCTGCCAGAGCAGTAGTCACAGCAGCAGATGTAACTCATCACACTGCCAGAGAATACCAGGCACCCTTCCTCCACCGGTTGAGCTGTGACCATCTTCCCTCTGCTTCAAAAATATGTCTAGCAGTGAGTTTGAGCCTTCAATCGATGGTGTCTGAAAATGGGAATCGGTAATTTAATTCTGCTTTATTTTCTTGTTGCAGATTTATGTGCCTCTCATGCTGGTTAATGCAGCTGATGATCCCTTGGTGCATGATAGTCTTCTAACAATTCCAAAATCTCTTTCAGGTAAGTGTTTCTTCCTACTGCCCTCTCAACAGCTTAGCAAATTGCCACAGTAAATCTGCCACTTCACCATGCTGCCATTTCCTGGAGGCCAGCCTCTGTGGGGAAAGACATCTCATTGCAGTCAGTGTTCTGTGTGGTCTGAAAGTCCTTGGGCTGTGACAGGGCCTGGGCATCAGGCCTCCCTCGTGTCCCTCCCAGGGCATGAGACAGGACCGTCATATATATCCATAGCCAGTGGGGCTCTGGGGAGCCACCTGATGTTCTGTGAAATTATCTCAGGTTTAGGTTTCCCTTAAGTGTGAGAGTTCGACATAAAGAGATAATTAGATTTAAAATTTGAGACTAGGCTCACACCTATAATCCCAGCACTTTGTGAGGCTGCGATGGGAGGATCACTTGAGGCTAGGAGTTTGAGACAAGCCTGGGCAACATAGTAAGACCCTATCTCTAAAAAAAAAAACTTAAAAATTAGATGGGCATGATGGTACTTGCCTATAGTGCTAGTTACTAGGGCGGCTGAGGCAGGAAGATCACTTGAGTCGAGGAGTTTGAGGCTATAGCAAGCTATCTGGGCAACCGAGCAAGACCCTGTCTCTAAAAATAAATAAATGGTAAAAAAAATAAAATAAAATTTGACTTGAAAAGCAAAACAAAATCCGATTCTGCAATCTTTTGTGACAGCCTCTCCTCTCCATCTGCTTTAAAGATAGAAGCACCTGGGCCAGGTGTGGCGGCTCACGCCTTTAAATCCCAGCACTTTGGGAGGCCGAGGTAGGTTGATCACTTGAGGTCAGGAGTTTGAGATCAGTCTGGCCAACGTGGTGAAACCCATCTCTACTAAAAATACAAAGATTAGCCGAACGTGGTGGTACACACTACTAGAGAGGCTGAGGCACAGAAATCACTTGAACCCGGGAGGTGGAGGTTGCAGTGAGCCAAGACGCTCTCAAAAAAATAAAAAGTAAAGTCAAGCTCCAGGTTATTAATTCTCAGTACGTCCGCTTAGCATGTGGCATGGAGAGCTTGGGCATCTTTTAACACAACTTGCAGCTTTAAGAATTTTGAAGATAAATGTCTGTAGTGAAAAAATCACTGACTCAATTGAATTCTCCTTGTTCTCTAGTAAATAATACTGTAAATGCTGTGAATCCCTAATCAGAGCCTGACCCCTACCACTAGCATGGACATCACCTGGGAACTTTTTAGAAATGCAGCATCTCAGCTCTCCCTTCAGGCTTAAAATCAGTATGTGCATTCTAACAAGATATCCTAAGTGATTCCGATGCACAAAGTTAGGAAGCACATTGAACCACCTGGGGAGCTGGAGTAATGCCAATGCTTAGGAATTCCCCTCCCTCATGCCTCCCCGACCTTCCACACCCAGAGATTCTGATTTCATTCATCTGGGCCAGCCTGGGCTTAAGGAGCTTTAAGAACTCCCCAGCTGATTCTAATATGCAGCCAAGTTTGAGAACCCCTTAGAGTTCTAAGGCCTTCTTAAACTGGTGCCCATTCAGCTCCAAAGCCAGGCTGTATTCTAAAACCTGCTAGATGCCCCTGCCTTGCCTGCCCCCTACTTTGGTGAACAAGGCAGAGTGAGTGGAGGTTGGTGAGCTTTCCCCACTTAGGTGACCCCTCTGTGGGGAAAGCCCAGGCTGTCCTAGCTAGCATCCTGGAGCAAACTGGAGAACAGTAACTCACTCAGCTGCCTTTCCCCTGCAGAGAAACGGGAGAACGTCATGTTTGTGCTGCCTCTGCACGGGGGCCACCTGGGCTTCTTTGAGGGCTCTGTGCTGTTCCCTGAGCCCCTGACGTGGATGGATAAGCTGGTGGTGGAGTATGCCAACGCCATTTGCCAATGGGAGCGTAACAAGTCGCAGTGCTCTGACACGGAGCAGGTGGAGGCCGACCTGGAGTGAGGCCTCTGGACTCTGGCACACTCCAGCAGCCCTCCTCCGGAAGCTGCATCCCCTCGCCCCGTTTCAGGTCTCCCATCTCCCTGAGTGACCTGGATCTGACCTCACACCATCAGCAGGGGGCACCCACCATGCACACCTGCCTCTGAGTAGGCAGCTCTTCCTGGGAGCTCCAGGCTATTTTTGTGCTTAGTTACTGGTTTTCTCCATTGCATTGTTAGCCATGGTGACAAGCGACAGAGTTCTTGCCCTCTGTCCAGTTTCAGCACCAGGTTGCTTTTAAGCCAAGTACATCTAGTTTCCCTACTTAAAAATGTGTCTGAATAGCAATTTCGCTTTGCCATCAAAAGGCTTTTTTCTGAGAACAGTGAAGGATATATGTCATTTTGTGATGGTTTTATGTGTCCTTACATAGACCTTAAAAAGAGCGCACCCTTCCAGGCCAATGCTGAAGACACAGTTCAGCTTGGAAGCCTGAGAAGCTGGGCTTCCCAGGCCAGAGTGTGGCTTCTTAAATGGCAAAGGAAATTCCTTTGAGTCACAGGCCAAGTTTTTACCCTGTCTTGTAAGACCATTTCCCTACACTTTGCTGCTGCTGCTGCTGAGAGTTATGTGGGGCACTTGTTAAAAATTCAGCCTCCCAGGTCCCTCCCCTCAGAGAGGCTGATTCATTGGGTCTAGGAAGGAGCCTGGGGATTTTAATTTTTGACAGCTGCCCCAGGTGATTCTCATCACCAGGCAAACTTTGAAAATGGTGTTCAACAGCACCCTTAAATTGGAAACATCTTCATAGCTCATTTTATTGAAATTTGTAATCCCACGGCCTCCAGAGCAGCAAGGCCGGCCATGGAACTGCCATGGTGTGACCACAGTGTGATGTCTCAGAAGGGCTCTGGGTGGCTGAGCATCTGGGCTGTGCCCTGGCTCTGCTTTTCACCCTGGACAAAGTCCCTGTGGACTTTGATTTCTTTGCCTCTAAAATGGGGGACTTGGACCAGGTAGATTGCTGAGCGCACTACTAGGTCCAAAGTTCAATGACAAACTCAGTTTACTGAGATTTGAGAGAATGTCCCTTCAGAGGAACCTGGGAGCTACTCTCCCAGTCTAAGCATGTAGATAACATCATTTACCCTTTTTTTTTTTTGTCCCTTATTTGATAAAAAGATGTTTTGAGGTTTTTTTTGTTTTTTTTTTAAGAACTCAATTGTCATTTTAGTTTTTAAACCCACGTCCCTTTAATTTTGGCTTTTGATACCAACCAATTCAAAAGCTGGATCTGAGTTTGGAGAAAGATATCTCCAACCTAAGAGGGTGTTATTTTGAAACCAGCCTATATTTGCAGTCTGTTGGATAGATCTTTCCAAAGTGTGTCTTCTCAAGTGAAAATGCAGCTCTAGGCTTCAAGTACACCTTTTCTCTGATCCTGTGGTACTTGAATATCTAAAAACCCTGCACTTTGAAAAATCATTAGTTGCTATCTGGAACTAAACAGAACTATGAGTAAAATTGCGTGGATACTTTAAAAAGAGATTTTCCCTCCTTCATCTCCTTTGAGTCCAGGACAGACTGGAATATAAATAGTGGGTCTGCAGGGATGTTTCAGGGATCAAGGAAGCCACCTGGGCACCTGAATGTCAACCCTCTGGGCCACAGGTGGGTGTGGCTTGGGCATGGGTCCAAGTGACTGTGACTGTGGTGTCTGTAACCTGAAGAAGGTGTTTTCTCTGACAATCACCAGATCATCCAAGTAACATCCAAACCAGCCCTTATCTCAGAAGATTGAATTTCTGTGGTCTCAACTTTGCTCTGGTGTAATTCCTGACACTCCTTAATTTCTATCATTATGACCTCCCCCCCAGTGTATTATTTTTCTGATACATTTCCTTTTTGTGTTCTTTTAGCACAGATGGGCACTTTACCCCTCAGTTTGGAAGCTAGTCCCTCTCCTCTGTTACTTTTCCCTTCACCCAACCACAGCTGTGATCTAGAAGATTTCATAGTCATCTTCCCTGCTACTACTGCCTTCATTTCTCACGACTTTTTATGAGAATAGGTCAACCAAGCAATAACTTTCTGGGATTGAATCACCACCCCAGAAGAGCGAGAGGCTCCTTTCATATGCCTGAGGCCACACCCCTTAGCCTATAGGACAAAACAGGGGCTGGCCCAGGTGTCAGCTCCATTCAGAAATTTGGGAGGAGAAAAGACAGCCCTGTTGTCACACAAACCGGTTGGGGTCTGGTCTGCACGGCGGCCCTGGTGGCCCCCGTGGAGGACAGGCAGGGCTGGCAGCATAGCCTTTGTTGCCACACAGCCGGATTTTGCTCCCCGACAACTGTGGGAGCCAGTGTCCCAGCTGAAATCTTTTTAGTGTGTGACTCCGAATGGCACTCACATTCCATTTTGGCTCATATGAAATCAACTGAAGCCCTTTGTTCAAGCTCCAGGCTCTCAGGCATGGAAATGAGAATGTGACTGTGGCTGTCTTACAAGAAAATTCTTGTTTGTCCCTGAATGAGAGCACAGAGCCATTGAATTTACAGAGATGCAAACTTGGCTGATAAATGAGGGAGCGGCAGTTTACAGATAGGTCATCTTTTTTCCTTCCTCCAGGTGTCCTTGCCTTTCTTCCCAAAATCATTCATTTCTGATGATTATATGATTGCCCCTCTTGCCACTAAGGTTCTATCTGGGCTAAAACAAGGCTGAATTTGTAAAGAGTGTTTGAGTATTGTATTTGAAAATCAAATTGAGGCTATAAATTGCATCCATCTGGAGAATTCCATTGCAGGAATAATGTGTTCAAAACCAATGAAGAGAAGTACCCACATCTCTCCTGTGGTACTCTGTGTCTCCTCAGCAGTTTGAAGACACTGATTCCAGTCAAGTTAGGATTAAGTGACTCAAAAAAATGGTGTCAGGTTTCTTTACTGTATTTATGTTAGAAGTGAGCTTAACAGGCTTGAAGAAAATGGTTATCTTTTCCTGCTGTGAGTTTACACAAATGATTCCAGAGCAGAATGGAAGCAGAAAGAAAGCTGTTTGTTACAGTATTTTAACCTCTCTGCAGTGCTTTACACTTACTGGGAACCTTATGAGTCACCGTAAGAGTGGAAATATACCTAGATTCTTTTCCTAACTGTCTCTAATTCACTGTGGATCGTGGGCAAATCCCTTCACTTCTCTGAGCCTGTTCCCTCCTCTTGGACCATGTCTAAGACCACTTCATCTATCTACACGTCGTTTGCTTGAACGTTGCTGAACATCTGCGTGAGCTTGGCTTTTGCAGCCCTTGCAGGTGGAAACGACTGTGTCAGGGCTCACGGCTGACGCTGAGGGGACTTGGAAGGAGGGGGCTTCTGTATTCTGGTGAAGACCCTTGATCTTGTCCAAAACCCTGTGTCTTTGACTGGCTTCTCTTTAGAGTCCCCATTGTCATAAGATCCTTGCTGTTCTGAGGGTGGTCTTGTGACTGTAGCAGGTGCTGGCCCCTGGAATGAGGAGCCTGTCTCCATCCTCCAGTGTGACTCAGGCAGAGCATTGAGCATTCCCAGGGCAGAAATCCTTCCTGCTCAGGCTTTCATTCTAAAACCACAGTCTTCATTAAAGCTGAACTTTCTGGGTAGCTGAGCTTATATGCCCGGCATCTGAATGAGAGCTCTCTTTGTGACTGTGTGACTTGAGATCTGTTTTGCCAGCTCCAGGGAAACAATACATGTGTTCTTGTTTTTGTTTGCTAGGCAAGCAGATGTCTGAGATGTAAGAGGCTTTTCTTTGCCTGTGGCATTGATTCTGACTTAGAGCTGAAGTAAAGATCAGTGAAACATCACGTCAAGTTGAAGTCACTCACAGGTCTTTGTCCTTCAGGCAGGACAGGAGAGTCATGAGGAAGCATTTCACTGCAGCATTCTGTCACAGTATCATCTGGAATTGTTTCCTTTGCCCAGAAAACCTTAACTTCCCTCTAGAGAATCCCTGGTATTACAATATTGTGGCATTCAAATTCAAATTCTTCTGTTGTGGAAATTTGAAGCAAAGCCACAGCAAAACCAGAGAATTTCGTTAAGTAGCCTGTGGGCTCCTTGTTATCTTATGCCCCCCACCCCCTCCCTCAACAATATGAGTGATCCAGAACTGACCCAAACACCTCAGCTCTGGCCCCTTTTCACCCTTGTTGGCCTTACTCTGTAGTTCAAAGCCACTTTGGATTACTTGGATGCTTCAAAAAGCCATGAAAAGTAGCCTGCCTGTGGCATTTAGAGGCCAAGCAATTGACAGAAAGGGGTTCTTCTACGTGTGTTATCATCTAAGTAGAGGGAAGTAAACCCCCTCACCTCCCCTCCACCCCCGATTAAACTAGAATTGCGTTTGCCAAGTTGTAGTTGAAACTAAGGAAGGGGGAACTGGCCCCTGCTGGCAGAGGGAGCTGGAATGCCACCTAAGGCAAGCCTGCTTCCTTCCCATCTCTGCTGCTACTGCTGCCCCCGGATGCTGCAAGCCAGGCAGGCATCCTCCTACAGTGGCCCTTGGAAGCAGGCTGTGGAGTAGACTGAGGTTCGTTTTTGAAATCAGAGCCCACGTTTTCTGAACTGTTTTTCCTAGCATGTGTGTGGGTAGAGCCTTCATGCATCTCTAATAATAATAAACTGAAGTTAATTTCTAACTGGTGGATTAAGTGTAACATTCTGAGTTCCATGAAGTTGTCAGCTTTTAACTAGACTCCTGTCAATTAGTAATAAAATCTATATCCTACCTTCTCTTGCTTTTCGTCCCCATTAGCCAAGAAATCTGTTGCCATAAGTTGGGGACAGTCCACTGAGAGCACCTGCAGAAATGCCCTTTGTCCCCATGGGCAGACTCCTTCTAGATCACCCACGCTGTGCAGTTAGGTGAGTTGCTGACCCCTGTGGTCCCAGCACCAGCCACTCTTTCTCAGGCTGTTCATGTGGGTGGACAGAGTTCCTGGGTGTAGGAGTTAGGTTTCGTCTGGTTTTCATTTTGGCCTCTTCAGTTTTCCTAAAGCACAAGTCCACATAGAATCCTGTCACCTCTCCACACCAGTTCCAGGTGATCTGGGTCTCTCCCACTGCCTCAGGAAGACCTTCACTGTACCTGAGCTTCTGACTTCTGCCGCTGCCGCTGCCTTAGTGATGCCAGGGCTGGGGGGAGGGGGGAGGGGAGCGAGTTTGCAACTCTCCTTTTCCTGGTTAGACTCTGTTCAACCACATTCTTACGCTGGCAGATCTGCTTCCAGATTGATTTTTGAGAACCATCACTTTCACATTCCTAATTCTGATTTTGTTTTGTTTTGTTTTGTTCTGTTTTGTTTGGGTTTTCTGAAACTTAAACTGCTGCCCTGAAAATAGTCTCTTTTTGGGTTTGTGTTCTGAAAGCCTCTGTGCTGCTGGATCTCTGGGGGGAAGTACAGGATCCCTCAGCACTGAGGTGTTTAAGATTTGCAACTAGCAATGCAATTTTTTCTAAATATGGGAATATTTACCTTTATTAAGAAATTATACTAAAAAATTATGTCCTTGATCATTTTATGTTCTCACATTACTTTGATTCTACTATGATTGTATGATGGTGAACGAAGATCATTACAAACAAAAGCTGTAATTTTGTTATATTTGATTCAGTGGAATTTCTTTACTTAAAAAATAAAGACTAAAAATGTGGTGTGGCTGTGCATCCTCTGTATAATGGCAGTTTTCTATCTAATAGGATTCTTCCTGTGTCTTCACCAAAGCTGAGATTAATGGAAATACACAAAACACCATTTTCGCACCACAGTTGATGTTAGTCCATCCTGTCTTCTCCAGGCAAGAAAGCCAAGAACTAAAATCAGGGAAATATTTGTTTTTTACTTTTTTATTTTTTAGAGACAGGGTCTTGCTCTGTGGCCCAGGCTGGAGTGCAGTGGTGTGATCACAAGCTCACTGCAGCCTTCGTCTCCTGGGCTCAAGCAACCCTCGTGCCTCAGCCTCCCGAGTAGCTGGAACTATGGGGGATCACCACTGTACCTGGCTAATTTTTTAGTTTTTAGTTTTATGCTGTGTTGCCCAGGCTGGTCTCAAACTTGAGTTGAAGCAATCCTCCCACCTTGGCCTACCAAAGTGTTGGGATTACAGTTGTGAGCCACCGTGCCCAGCTTGTGTTTTAATAACTTCATAAAGTGAACCATATAGACATTGAAAGGCAAGGCAAGATATAAATGGTGCTTGCCATGTGTGATTTGTATGCTTTTCCAATAATGTTCTTTGAAAAGACTAGGTGAACATTTCCTAAGTGAAGATTATCTTGGGTTGGTTGGGTGGTGGTGGTGTTTTCTTCTTTGAATCTGTCTGAACCCAAGCTAAGGGTCTCCCAGGAGCAGGCACTGGCTCAGCCGGGAAGGTTGTACCACCCCCAAGAGACTTAGGCTTACAGCTCCCTTCCCTCCTTGGCCACACAAAACCTTTGTCAAGTTACGCAGGGTCAGGAGTGTTACCTTTAGAAGTTGTGCATTAACAAGACCTAGAAATCGCCAATGCCAAATTTCAAAATTCATACCTCTCTGGTAAGCAAGCTTCCCCTCGATTCCTATCCCCCACAAAATAACCAAACTATTTTGGCCCAAGAAAACCAACTTGCAAAGAACACCACCTATGAAAAGACTACATGGAAGAGATTTCAGGTCCGGGGCATGAGGCAGGTCAGTGCCAGCCGCATGCTAATGTGATCAGGTAGGACCAGTAGCACACAGCTGCCCTCTCGTGAGGCAGCCCACAGCATTTGTGTTCACTGACCCCTCACTTACTGCCCTAGTCATGCTATTTGTTTATTATGCCTTTCATTAACAGGCTTCTCTGCTCTAGTCCTGTAGGGAGTACTTTCCCATGGTGAGGATTAAACACCTAACTGGATGGTCCTTTATATGGCAGCCTCCCCTCCTCACTTCTCTGTTGGGTATCTTTAGAGGGAGGACGTAAAAGTGCTACCATATATCTGAGTGGTTGAAAGACATGACAGGCAATTTGGCTTTGAACTGGCGAACCCCTTCCCAAAGAGGACAAATTAAACACCTCTCTCCATGTGGCTGTGTGCTACCCACACCTTCCTTTTGATTCATGCTATCTACCATATTTATCCCAGCATCTCTACTGAAGACTGGTTTCCTCTTAAAGTCATTGCCTCCTCATTGATGATAGTTGGTGAAATTGACCTGGAAATACATGAAATTCTCATTTCATTGTTTCTCCTCCCTTCTCTGCCTGTACCTCTCCCGCCCCCAGAAATAAATAAAACAAACGTTGGAGACAAAGGGTGAGTAGTAACAGAGCCAAAGAGATTTGGAGCCAGAGTTGCTGGGCCAGGGTCCCATCCTTGCCATTTCTAGCAGGACATAACCTCAGGTTGTTATTTATTTATTTTCCAGTGGGAATAATTATACTAAGAATGCCTGCCTCAGGATAAGTGAGAGGTTCAGATGATATTTTTCAAAGTACCCATGTCACTTTGGGCAGTGATTTTGGCTTTACCTGTTTGGTTCCCACTCATACATCATCTCCAAGGTAGAAACTACAAGCAAAGTATTCAACGTGGTCCAGCTCCACACCAGGGCATCTGATAGGCTGCAAGGAAAGCAGAGCCCAGCCTGGTTATACTTTGCAAAAACATTTCTGGGCTCAGAAGTGCTGACGAGCCATGTGTGTGCACCATCAAACCCTGATCCTTTTCCTTCATATGTGGTCACCTTGGGAAATCCAGGTGTACTACATGTCCTGCCTACTGGCAAGGCGACTTGCAGGAGCGGAACTTGCTTATTCTGGGGCATTAGCCTCTCAGCTGTGGTCTTCCCAAGGGCTCCTGCAGCCTTCTTCTCTGTTCTCTGCTCACATCCAAAGTTTGCCTTTAAATCCATAGATATGAATCCTTACTAGAGTGAGTTCCTCCTTATCTTAACCTCCATATGTCAACATACAGGGTTTAAGCAATGCACATTTGAGCCACCTGCTGGGAGGTAGATAGCCATTGTTTTGTAAGCACTGACTGTCTGTCTCTCTCTCTCTCTCTCTCTCTCTCTCTCTCTCTCTCTCTCTCTCTGACAGGGTCTCACTCTGTTGCCCATATTAATGAGAGCAGTAGTATGATCATGGCTCAGGCAGCCTCAAACTCCCAGACTCAAGAGATCCTCCTAAGGCCAGGCGCAGTGGTTCACACCTGTAATCCCAGCACTTTGGGAGACCGAGGCGGGTGGATCACTTGAGGTTGGGAGTTCAAGACCAGCCTGACCAACATGGAGAAACCTCAGGTCTACTAAAAACACAAAAAAATTAGCCAGGTATGGTGGCACATGCCTGTAATCCCAGCTACTCAGAAGACTGAAGCAGGAGAATCACTTGAACCCAGGAGGTGGAGGTTGCAGTGAGCCAAGATTGCGCCACTGCACTCCAGCCTGGGCAACAAGAGTGAAACTCCATCTCAAAAAAAGATCCTCCTGCCTCACCCTCTCTAGTAGCTAAAACTATAGGCTCACGCCACTGCATTTGGTTGATTTTGTGTATATAGAAACAGAGTCTTGCTGTGTTGTCCAGGCTGGTCTCAAACTCCTGGCCTCAAGCAGTCATCCCTCCTCAGCCTCCCAAAGTGTTGGGATTACAGGCATGAGCCACTGTGCCTGGCCTGATTGGTTGTTTAATGTGCACACCCCTGGAGGTCTTGTTAAAGCAGATTCTGATGCAGCATGACTGAGACGTGGCCTTAGAGCTCCCCGTGGGGAGGGTCCAGCCCTCCTTGGACCACACTTTGAGTAGTGAGGCTCCAGGAGATCCCACAAGTTTCCAGATCTGACACTTCTGAGTTTCCTAAACTTGAGAGCCAAGCTTCCAACAGAAAGTGAGATCAGAGGCCAGGTGCAGTGGCTCACACTTGTAATCCCAGCACTTTGGGAGGCTGGCATAGGCAAATCACCTGAGGTCAGGAGTTCGACACCAGCCTGGCCAACATAGTGAAACCCCCTTTCTACTAAAAATATAAAAATTGGCCAGGTGTAGGGGCAGGCGCCTGTAATGCCAGCTACTTGGGAGGCTAAGGCAGGAGAATCACTCGAACCCAGGAGGCAGAGATTGCAGTGAGCCGAGATCACGCTGCTGCACTCCAGCCTGGGTGACAGAGTTAGACTTAGTCTCACAAAAAGAAAAAAAAAAGTGGGATCAGAGGTGTTCCACTTCACCTGTTAGGTGATGCTTCACCTCTTTCCCTGCTAGTTTGAGTTAAGAGAAAGGTACACCTCTTCCAGTTAGGCTTTGCCAGGCCTCCAGGCAGCACTACCCTCCTCCACTTTCCCCTGGGTAAACCCAAGACGTGGCCAATTTCATTGAGAGGCTCTCTGAAGCTGGGACCTGTCTCCTTCCTGAGACCTCCACCCACAGCTTGATGAATTGCCTCCATTCTCCCAACATCCACATTTGCATGGCAGAAATGCATCACTGCAACCTTCCAACTCCCATACTTTTATGCGACAGAATCCCTGCCTCACCCCAGATATCCCCAGAAAGGAAGTTGTTATGGGAACCAAATGGTTGTTATGAAATTCTTTTTTTGTTCTCCTTCCCATGGCTGGTGTCCTTCAAAAGAGTATTTTATTGTCTCTCTTCAATAATGTGGGGACCGTTGTAGGAATCACCCACATAGGCAGCCGGGATTTTTGTGAGGCTGAGCACGTCAGGTTTTGCCATTCACAATCTTCAGACACTTTTCCCCCCAAAAGCATCACTACCTTCTCAGGCAAGGTCTGACCCAGCCCACCCAGCTATAACCCTCTTGCCCAGCTTGTCCCTGGAAGGGCAGTGCCAGGGCCCAGCCAGTAGGGGGCGGCGCAAGTGCACAGTCAGAGCTGGCTCACGGGGTTCAGTGAGTTTCTGATGACTTCTTCCTCAGAAAGCTCGGTCTTCTTATCAGCCAGGGCTCCTGAGCTAAGGCCCCAGCCCTGCTGACCTTAGGGACGATCCCAACATCCCATGCAGGTTTGAGTAGGAGCCAAGGCTGCCGCAAGAGTCTTCTGGTCAGGATGTACCTGATCTCACTGATATGTTCTGAGCTGCCACAAATTCAGAGCAGACCTGGGCTGTGTCTAGGAGGGTGCCTGGTAGCTCCGGGCTCGGGGATGATGGGATCAGTGGACAGGGATCAACCGGTATTTCCCTCAGATTTGGGACCCAAGTCCTGAGGAGCAATTACAAGTATATCATGAAAATGTAAAAAATATCTGTAATCCCAGCACTTTGGGAGGCCAAGGCGAGTGGATCACGAGGTCGAGAGATCGCGACCAACCTGGTCAACATGGTGAAACTACTAAAAATAAAAAACATTAGCTGGGCATGGTGGCGCGTGCCTGTAATCCCAGTTACTCAGGAGGTTAAGGCAGGAGAATTGCCTGAACCCGGAGGCGGAGGTTGCGGTGAGCAAAGATCGCACCATTGCACTCCAGCCTGGGTAACAAGAGCGAAACTCCATCTCAAAAAAAAAAAGAAAGAAAGAAAATGTAAAAACTACCCATTCTTTTTTTTTTCTTTCCTTCTTTTTTGAGATGGAGTCTAACTTTGTCACCCAGGCTGGAGTGCAGTGGCACAACCTCAGCTCCCTGCAGCCTTCACCTCCTGGTTTCAAGTGATTCTCCTGCCTCAGCCTCCCAAGC